GCCCCGCGCGCCCGCCCACCCCATGACCCCCATGTCTTGTTGTTTTTTTTCTGTGGGGGTCGTGCTGGACCCGGCCGTGAGGTTGCTGCCGTGCCCCTAGCGTTGTTCCTGACCTAATGGTTTCCAAGACGTCGCCCTTGTTGACTGCCCAATGAAAATTCTGTTCAAGGACAGGTGGCAAGGTCGTCCGTCTTTAATATTCAAATCTAGTTCAGATGTTGTAGTTTCCACGCAGTTTTGACGGTAGCGTTATCATCTTTATTGTAGGTAAGGATGTTCCAAAAACATGAAACTGAATAAACAGAGCTCACTTTGATCACTGTGGTAATAAGAGCGCCATAATACGAATGCGTCTGTATAATTCCTCCGAATCTCTTCAAGATATATTTAGAAGTGGGGGGATTAATTTAAATCCACATGTTAGCTTGTTCCCAACTTTGTTTGACGTATCTTCTCAAAAATTCTATCAATGAGTTTAGTGTACGTGTAGAAATGCTTTACCTAACGATATAAAACTCTAGTTAAGGTTGAAAATAGATAATTATCTGCCGGCAGAAACTCTTGTGCTAGATATGATAAAATGTAAAGCATGATGGTTTTTCAAAGGTTGTACAGATTCTTTCTGTCTTTTCACTTTCTCGTCTTAGTAAGTAAAACGAGAAAGTATTACAACAGGAAATTGATGATTTTTGTAAAGAAAAACTCATTGCCGAGCACTGGAAATGACGAAGTGGATACATCTTGTTCCTAGTGTTTGCATTAAATTACTTTGTCTCGCATGTTTAGTCAGAATCCACGACTTGAAAATTTCAGTAATTGTTTTATCATTTTAAAACTTTTTAAAGGGGAACCGAATTGAAATTATCCCTCGCTAAAATACTGTCTGGAAGAAAAGAGGCTCCTTATGGGAGAATTTGGGCGTTCACAGTAATTCTTGTGATGTCCAACTGGAGAACGTAAATATTACGGGAATTACTCTGACAGTAGGGTACACAAGTTGGGACCCGGTATCCCCTGTTGATGCTGCGTAGAGCATGATGTCACTTTAGTGCATGCGAAGAGGTACAACAAAAGGAGAAGGTCGTCCAATGGTGTTTTCTGCATCGGTGAAGATGACCCCACATAATTAAAAAGGATATATGCATTTCTCGAGAGGTTAAAATAATTTGGATGAATGATGTTTTCTTCTCTGATGTGGTGAATCACAATATTATTATCTACAACCACAACTGCTCTAATTTATGGAGCTCCTCGTACTCTTGCGGACCTCGACACGAGCTGCCACTGCTTGTCGGATTCGCCCCTGCTGCGTCCTTGAGATTTTGAAGAGTAAATGAATGAGAGATTATTTATTGATTCCCGGTGCGTCAACTTTTTAAGTCATTAGTCTCGTAGGAGTAGTGTGTGTTGTATCTTGGTAGATTGGGGTATTCCTCTCACACTGGACTGTGTCCAGGGCTCAGTTTGTAAGGTACTGTTCCGGCACTCGACTGGTATTGATCGGAGAAAGCGCGCAAAACCATCAAACTGTGCAGTGGGCATTGAGAATTAATCTTGCGCCAGAGGTTCCGTTCGACTTAGCTATGTACATAGCTAGCGCGGAAAATACACCGGTATCCTAGCCTGGAACCTCCCGGTCGGCGATGCTGCAAATGCAACTGTGTTGCCGCTGCGCTATCGGAGCCGGTGAGTAGCGGAGGGCTCACGCACGGCCTCGAGATTAGCGGGCGGATCCGCACGCGTGGGCCGGCTCTCCGGCTGCTCGGCGCGAGCTCGTGTGCGCGGGCAGCTGCTCCCGCCGCGCCGCGCCGTGCGGCGCATTGCCTCGTCTCTATAATTCGAATAACGGATGCGTTTGTGGCACTTTTCCTCGTGGTTACTGGCAGCCAGTTCGACGGGTGTGGAAGAACCCTGTAAGACGCCAATAAAGAAAAAATGTCAGTGCGCTAATCGTTGGGCTAGTGCATCCCTCCGTTACAGCCCTAAGCCACTGACCAGAAGTAAGATGAAGTGAATAGCCGGTTTTTGTATTTATTTGTTCGATCAAATATACTTATTGGCTTTCTTGTCTTTGGGAATGTTAACGGTAATAGCAATGATGTTTGAAATGGTAAGAATTATCTTCTCGTCCATTTTTGAAGTTCAAGTATTTGTTTATTGCAAGTTGCCTTTTTGTATTGATTGTTGCAGGATACGTGTAAATTAAGTAGATTGTACTTTGATATACATTTGATATCTTTGTTTGTAAAGGAATGGTTACATCATTTGAACACCTTTACCCCATCAGAGCAATCTGTTCTTACATTTTCTGGTCATTCTACTTGATAGTTCAATTGAAGGAATAGAGCAGTACCTGTACTTATTTTTTTTCATTTTGACAGTCATGTGAAGTTCTGCAAAAATACGAGGGAAATCAAATAATGATTGAATACGTATTAAACGCACTAAATCCCTCAAAACCGTAAAGAAGTATATAATTTATTAGCCATAGTATGTGGTTCAGTATTGTAAGGTATTTCGAGCATTCAAAACTTCCATCGAGATTAATTTATGGGCACCCTGCTCCCTCATTAGTGGGATTATGCAATCGGTGAAATGACCCATCAAGGTCGAAATGTCTCGTCAAGGTCACATGGACGTGTCTCTAAGTGCATTTCGGAAGTGCTCAGTCCCGAATACACCGCTAGACGACCTATAGAACCACATTCTTCGATGCATTTGGTATTTCCTGCTTCGTACTTTTTTGTCTTAGGCATATTACGACCAATCAACGAGAAAGAACACGCGTGTAACTTTGCATTACATCTCATCCTCAATATCAGCTTCTTTGCCTCTTCGCTGCTCAATTCAGGTAGGCAGAACGTTCATCACTGGAAGTACTTATTTCCTTCCACCGCGGCAGCACATCTGTCCTGAAAACAGGGTTCCGTGGCATGTGGAACGCGCGCCTAAAGCAGACTCATTAGCCGGCGGTGGCTCTCCGCCGCGTTTATGAGCGCCATCTTAATTCCAATTGTTGCCAGCTTACGTGAGTCCCCCACGTCCTCTCAGAGCAGACGAAGGATGATTATTTACATCCGACATTAGTTAACATTTTTATTGGGCGGGCAAACGTGATCGTGGAATTAATGATGCCCTAAATTTTAAAAATTGGAATTTTATTTATCTCTTAATGAACGGCTTCTACGCGTTCATTCTGCCGGTGGTGCGTTTTTATGTGGCCGCTACCGAAAACAGAATGGCATGCGCGAGTCAGGTGTGTCGGGGGCTCACTTGCAGTGAGGCAGCGGTGGGCAGATTCGGGTTGGCCTCTCCTACTGTTCAGGAGGCATTGCGGTGGGGCAGTATTGTGCTGGATTGGAGGAGGTGGTTGGAGTCGTGGGTGGGCGGAGTCTGGAGTGGGGCTGGGGGTTTGTGCGGTAGGAACTGAAGTGATGGGAGGATTGGAGCAGAGGTGCCCGGTACCGGGTGCTTCGGTCGGAGG